CAGGTAAGACTGAAACAAACAATATGTGAATGTATCATTATTATATACAGAGAAAATCCAGTGTCAAATATAATTTTTTTTTAAATCCTTTCGAGGAAGAAATATCTTCATTTTTTTAATTTAAATGGAGTTGATATCTGCATGAGCATCAGCCTCTGAATTATACGGTGTTTCTTTTTAATAATGTGATATTATTTAACATCCAGATGATTTGAATAAATTGGCATTATCTTGGGAAAATTTATATCGCCATACACATACTCACATAAAACTTGTGTCCACACTTCATGGGAGTATCATGTACTCCCATCAGTATTATCAACTATTAACCTTTTTGGGTATATAAAAGATACATCTCTAGATTTCTTAAAACAATGTAAAAAAAATGATAGTTTTTATTTTGGAGCTTATACACTACTTGAAGCATAATACTTATTTCAGAAGCATCTTCACCTTTTAAAAGTATTTGATCTCAGGGGAAAAGTAATTCTCTACTCTCCAAAATGGCTAGATTTTATCTTGAGATTAGTATATTCTGCACTGTTTTAACAAAGGATAATCACAGAAAAGTACCAAATTCATAAAGCCCAATTCTGTAACATAAATCCTTCAAAGATTCTTCATTTTATGGCCATCATAGGCACATGTGTTAAGATGCCTCTGGAAAGGCATGAATAATTATCTGAAGGAGATGTACTTTCAGAATTATTAAAAAAAAACTAATAATAATATGTAGAAAACCATACCATGTATCTGTTAAGTGTGTTTTCAAGGATATATAGCTGTAATTCTTACAGAAATGTGTATTTTTTAAAATAGGAAAAATACTGCATAAAACCAACTTCCCTACCTCAAATGTAAAAATACAAAATATGTCTAGAGACATGTACTGTCACATGTCCACAGCTCTTCTGGAATCCTCAGCTTTGCAATCAATAATTCTCCAATCATTAGTGAATATGCTCCATGACTCATCAGAAATGATACACAAAGTTAATGGGGATCATGGTTTCCTCACACTCCAAACATTTATTGACACGAGTGGCAGTTACGCCTTATATAGTACAGACAGATTCAAGACGACACCACGCTGGAAGGCAACCCTTTTGAGGTTCTCTATAAAATCTGCCACCCACCCCCTCAAAAAAAGAACCCACTACATCCCTCCTGTCTTATATTTTTGGCATCCTTCAAGGAAATAAAAGTAAGCATACTTTATATAGATAGAAAAGAACTGCATTTTTTCAGTTTTAACACTCACTGCACATGGCAAAATGTACTTCAGTTATGAAAATATCTAAAAGGAATGTTTCCAGGACCTATGCCATTGTGCTTTGTTTACCAGTCAGATGCTTTTTCAAGAATGTGTTCAAATTATAAAGACAAAGTCTCCGTGTACAGGAATTCTTCAGTGCCTATAACATTACCGCAGAAACGTATTTTTACCTTTCCTAACATTCAAAACAATGCCTTATTCCCTACAGATGAAAATCTTTCATTGTTGTGAATTCATGAATCTTTGATTAACATTTGGTCAGGAGTTTGTCTGGATTTATTTGGTGTTTTTATTTTATAAGGAAGGAAAGTCATAGCAAAGAAAAATACATATTAAGCATTTGAAGATAATTGCTGTTTACTGAAAGCTCTATGCTAAAATAAATTTTAGTGGCTCATTTATGTTTGGTAACTTTGGGACAATGATAACTATAGTGTCTCTAAAATGTTCCTAAGTAGCAATCATACGCTATTCTGGCCTTGGAGAGGTGTTAAGACTCATCCCCTAATTATAAGCCTTTTCTGTGTTATTACTACCTCACCATTAAATCTCTAAACTAAATAGCAGTTTTGAGGAAATAAAAATAGATGTTAAGCGGTGTGTTTTCTCAAATTTTCCTTACAATGGGTAAGAATGATGAGGAATTTATGTATGATAAACTTCTTTAGTTTGTAAAACTAAAAGTTCATTTTACTGCGTTTTGACTAGAAAACCCTCTAGGCTTTCTCCCAGAATGCTGCTTCCAGCTTTATTCTAGAACACTGTCCAACAGAAATGCAATGCAAGCCACATTTGTTATTTTAACTTTTCTAATAGCCACATTAAAAAAGTAAAAAAAAAAAAACAGTAAAATTAATCTAATAATATATTCTATTGAAAAAAATATATCCAAAATGTTGTCATTCCTACATATTCATAATCAACATTAAAAAACGTTAATCAGATGTTTCACATTCTTTCCTTCATACTAAGTTTTCAAAATCCAGTATATAGCCACATGCGGCTGGCTAGTGGCTACTGTACCAGACAGCACATTCCAGATTTCCAAAAATATGAAGTTTTTTGGCCTAACAGGCCACACACTTTAAAATCGTCCTGTGTAATATCCTCTCTGATCAGTATTGCTGTTGGGATTTTATATTGAGCCAAACATTTAAAATGAATGTAATTCACTTCCTGCCTCTACTCCCGTGGCTCGCCTATCCACTGCCCACCCTGATGCCTTTTTCTCAGAGTATCAGGAACCCCAATCACCTATTCTTTTCAGCTTCTTCCAAGCAAGACCTGAGATGTTCTTTAATCTGTGCATCTTCCATAACCAAGCAGAAAGCCAGAAGGTGCAGCAAAGCTATTCTCTCTGTTTCCATAAATAGAAATATCTAATACAGGCCTAATGTATGGCGACAATGATAAATGCAAGGGCAATTGTTTTGCTTACGAATGAAGGTAAGAAATTTTATATAATAAAGTAACACACCCTTCCTCAATGAGAAATACAATTTTACTCTTTGCCCCCTTCCTCCCAGGAGAAACCTTGGGATATTCTGTTCTTGTCCTGGAACAGAACCCAGTGTTTCATTTCATCGGAATTCTATGCCCAGAGGAGGAACAGAATGTTGGAATCAAAATTTAATGAATTCAACTTGGAGCCTACGTTTGCCTCAAATGTGGAAATGTAAACATACGCAATAATATCTCAAACCATAAAACATTTTGGATTCTGTTGGCATGGCTGCATCAAGTATTACACTTGATGTGTATCTGCACACAAACTTGTTCTTCATTACATGAGAAAAAAAATTAAACCAAGGCACATGTGAGGTTTTCTGAGTCTCTTACTAATAATAAGACCTGATTACTATGTCTTCAGTGACACTGTAATTATAGAGGGATGGATGAACAGGTTTTCTGGTGCTGACCCAACCTGTTCCCTAGAACACAAAAGGCAACTTTTGTAGCCCTCGATGAGGAAATGTCTCCCCCCCACCCTCGCCATTAAACAAATGAAACAAAACACTATGTCTACATTTTGCGAAAGTCTAACAACACAATAATCCAAAAGAATTTCACCCCCATGGAAATACACACCACCAAAGAAAATCAGAACGCTGTAGGATTCCTAAAAAATAATTTTGAGCTGCATTGGTCACCAACTTTAAGAAAACAAAGATACAAGGTGCTTTCTCAGGCTACAAAATAAATATATTCAGTGTCTCTGGCTATATAATTCTACATCTAAGACATTCTAAGTTTTGAACTAAATATTCTTAAGACGAATTTTACACTCGTTCGACTTTCATTTTAACTTGTCTCAGGATAGTCTTTTATCTCAACAGCAGGACAAGGACACACACCAACACTCGGGAACCTACACGTAGATAACATGGAGTGGATCACTTATGCTGGTATAGAGTAGTTATGCGCTAAATACCCTGTGCATAAACAGACGCTGTGTTCAAACCCAGGAGGGAGGAACACCGTGTCCACTGGTGTAGTATTTCAAAGCACGGTGCAGAGGGCCTGCAAATCCAAAGGCATTATGACTTCTCTCTCGGTGTTATTAATTTAAGAAATTCCTCAGAGTACGGCGAAGTTTACCTTCCATTTGTTATCGCTTGTGCCTGCGCTGGTGGGCACACACAGTAAAGGCAGTGGCAATAACCTTTGGGCAGCTCGTTATTCAACCTTAATCCTAGGGAAGCACACTGCACAGAAATACACCACAGAATCCCAGCAGCCGCATACTCTCCGGGCCCGGGAGAGGCTTAAGAACACAATCACTCTTCCAGCAACACCTCTGTAGTTGTAAAGTGCTGTGCAAGGGGCCAGCATGAGCTCCTCCATATACCTGCTCGTGTTACAGCCTCTGGAATCAAAGTATTCTCACATGACACATTACTACCAATAACAGATTCCGGCTCCGTTTTAAAAAAAAAAGGGGGGGGGGAGCGCTACATATTTGTCCTGCTTTTGTCTAAAAACCAGAACCCAAGTACTAACTACTTTTCATTCTTTCCAACCTTCCATGAAAGCAATTCAATCAAGCAACTGCGGCTCCACCCAGGGAGCGTCTATACTTACTTTTCTTACAGTTTTTGAATGACGCACTACAAAACGATGGGGGGAGGAAAAAAAAAAAGAGCCCTCTCATGCAGGGCGTCTTCCGCCCTGTAAACTTGGCAAAAGGCAAACTGGACTGAAAGACAGCACTCTCCATATAAGGAAGCCCAGCTAAACATGTCATGCGTAATTTATGGGCAGCAGGCAGAGAATTAACCTTTGCGTGCACATATTTGGCCCAGATGAAAACCGGGCTGGATGGCAGCCCCGGGGACAGGGATGCGGGATCTCTCAGGGAGAAACCGCGGCTCCCAACTGATGAGCTCGCATCCGCCCCCCGACCAAGGTCGTTAAGTTGTGAGTACACTTCCACGCACCTGTTTATCCCCCCCCTCCCCACCCCACCCCTCCTTTCTTTCTCCCTCTTTCTAGGTGGCAAGTTGGGAGCGAGCGGCGCGCTGACAGCGTCCGCAGCTCCCCGGGAAGGGCTGCGGAGCTGGGCTGCAGCCGCAGCCTCCCGCTCGCCCTCGAGCCCGGCCCCGGCCCCGGCCGCTGTGCCAGAGCCTCCTCGCCCTTCCTCCTTCAGCCACGCACGGCCCCGAAAGCGCCCAGACAATGCCGAGCGGCAGCCCGGCGCAGGGGCGCCGGGAAGATGGAAACTTACCTCACATTTTTTTCTCAGAGGCAGCGCGACTGCCGAGCGGGGCCCAGGGCATTGTGGGAGCGCTGCTTCCGAGAGGCCCGCGGCTGAAGATGGAACTTGTCAGCGCCCAGTCACGGGAGCATGGTGAGCGCCACAACCCGTTCAGCTGCAGTGAAAGGACTGGTGCATGTCGCCGTGCAGCCTCTTATCGCCGCGCTCTGGTTTCCGCTGCTGCTGCGCGGCCCCTCCCCCGCCCGCCCAGCCCCGCCAGGAAGCCGGGCGCGGACTCGTCGAGCTCCGGGACGCACACGCGGCGGCGGAACCACGCGCCGCGGCCGCCCGCCGCCCGCCCGCGCTCCCCCGGGCCGGCTGGCCGCCCCTCAGCCCGGCGACGGCCGCCACGGGGAGTCGTCGCCACGCGCGGGTCGGCGCCGAGAGCAGCAGGAGACCCGCGCTGGCGCTGGCGCGGTGCGTCCCCGCCGCCAGCCGGTGGTATCTTCCATCTTACACGTTCCCCATGATAACCTCCGAGCTCGGGTGCAAACCGGGCGCCCTCGCTCCTACTACTTTCTGCGCCTTCCGACTAGCCGGACGGACAAACGCGTTCGTTTCCTAAAGAGGCCCGTGGATGGGGCTTTTTGTAAGGAAGCCGGCAAGGTTAGACTGAAGGTGAGACTCGGATCAGGTTAAAACGGTAGGACCTGACGGGGCTGCCGCCTGAAAAAAAAAATGCACCACAGTTTTTGAACCTGGATGGCTCGCAGGCGGGAAAAACATCTGCAAAGACCGCCAGTATGGATGTTTCTCAACTAACAAGGCTGTCTGCAGTTTTGGAATTCCTTGGTGCAACTGATTGTCACACAAGCACAAACACTCACATACCAGCTTCCCATCTAGTTTATAAATAAGATTTGAAATGCAAAATCCCCTTTCTTTCCAACTCTGCATGAGGTGATTTATAGAGGCAGAGCCCTCCCGCCCCCCTTTAAAAATAAAATATTTTCTGAAATACTGGACTATCCCAAGGCAAACAAGTCATATTATTGTTGGAGCAAAAGAAACCACAGCCCCAAATCCATAATTCACTGGGTGTTATAAGATGTAACTTGGCTTCACTGTGAATGGAAAGAATCCTGGACTAACGTGATGTGATAAAAGTTTTGGAGATGGGGTGGGGGGCAGAATTTCCTTTGGATTTAAGGACTTTCAATAATGTGTTCAATGACTCTAATTAAAAAAACCTTTCCGCGTTTGGACACAATTTGGGACAAGATGCTAGATAGGGTGCTATGTTGTTCTTCCTACAACTTCAAGTTGTGTTAAAGAGGGTGGGGCCAGCTTAAGAAGGAAAAGGGAAAACATCATGAAACGTGCTAAAGTACAGAAATACTTCCAGAGGCATTAATAACAAACGAGAGTTCTTGACCCTTGCCTAGATCCATAAGACACTGAGTTAATATTGCGCGCTGCTCCCTTCCAGAACTAATTAATTAAATAAATGGTGCCACCTCTCGGTGTTGACCATTAAAAACTATCCAAGTGCACACACAATTGAAGCAAATTAAAAAGACCTGACACTGTCTCAGGGAACATGGTGGACATTCTTTATCTGCCAATTAATAGCTGTGAGGACTTCCTCCTGATCCCGCATCCATTTCAGCAACTACATGAAGCGCCAGCTATGCCAGAGATGCAAGAATGGATAAAACAGAGTCCCTACCTCAAGGATAATACCTCTGCTAGGAAAGAGACAAAACAAATAATTCTTCCTGAGGGATAAATGCTAACATGGTGAAGGCAAGCCCAAAGGGGTCCCTGAAGAGAGTCGGGGAAGGATTTCGGGGGGAGTTATTTTCACCGGTCCCTTGAAAGGAGTGTAGAAACCAGCGAAGGGAAAAGGGAGGCATGTCTAGGTCAAGTGGAGAAAGCGCATGGCATATACAGCAGACCTGCCAGTCTGTCTATTAAAAGTGAGGGGAGGATAAGAGCAGGGGAGGGACAGGGGATGAGCTGAAGTAGGTCTGTGTTAACCTTACTCTGAAAACTGGGATGAACTAGAAACGTTTACACAGCAAGGGGATATGAAGCGTTTTGGTTGGACTTGTATTTCAGAAAAAAACCTTTGGCAGCAGTTGGAGGGTGAATGGCAGTGTGGGGTGGCGCTGATGGAAGAAGGGTGAATGGGTGTGGACAGACTGGAAAAGTGACTCATGCAGGGAATGAGGAAGGGAGGAGCCTTGGGAGATTCCCAAATCCTACTGAATTGTTTGCTACTTGCTTTTTAATTTCTGCAGTTTGCCTCCCATTCTCCATGACAACCCCTGACTTCTGCATCTGCTAGCAGGTTGGTGCGCTAGTTGGTTTCCATGTGTCTCTCCTGAGAATGTCCAGTGAACTAACTGCTCAGGGCTAATCCCAGTTGCAGGGAATTATTTCAATTATTTTCAGGCCCTTGTAGACTTCCAAGTTAGAGCTTTGGTGGTTTATTTTGTTTTTCTTTTCTTGTGGGTTAGAAAATTCGCTATTTGGAGCAACGTGGTGAAAAACAGGACTTTGAACCTGTGTATGGTGCAAGACGGGAAATTATTTTTTCCACTTCAGCACTGGAGGAGGGGGGGATGTTCTGAGAACAAAAGAGAAATTGAAACTGAGACAAATTTTCTGCTCCACAGAACAGATTACAAAGAAATACAGAAAAAGACCCTCGAATGTTAGAAACAGTAGAATAAACATCCCAGTAAATAACAAAGAAGAGGAAAAAAATGTTATTTTACATTCGATAAGGAAAATAGGCATGGCCAAGAAAACGTATATAAAAAAGGTTATATAAACTTATATAAACCTGAGACTCAAAAATGAGTTAAAGTAATGATATAAAACTTCATTGCCTCTGGTTTAGCTTTATTAGCATTTATACTATTATCGCATGAATAGTGATATTTTAAATTTTGAAGCACTGTAGCAAACATGAGATCATATGTTAAAAAATATTAAGTCATGCTGCCAGCTTTCAAATACCAGTGGCATTCTCACCACATTTCAAATTGTGGAAATATTTAAAAATCATTATAGTAATAAAAAGCAAATAGTTCCTCATTCAGAATATCCATTGATATTCTCTCGGTGCCAGGAGAGAATTATGGTTTCTCTCACTTCTATGACATGTAGTTAGAGTCCACAGGTTCATGAGTGAGTATGTCCATAAGTATAAAAAAAGATCATTTATGGAAGAGGGGAAAATTATAGAAAACAATTTCAGATGAAATAAAACTACATTTTTAGATAAAGGAAAGAATGTTCACTGTGGATTCCTGAAATGTTTTAGACCATTCAAGCCTTAATTATACCAATTAATCTCAGGAAAAATACAGTTAAGGAGTATGGTTTTTAGAGATACTATCAACTACCTGGTTTACCAACAATACAGATAAAGGAAATGGTAGCGTTCATCTTTTTCTCTCAAATGTTAGTCATTAAGGCACCTGTGTAAGTGTGTGAATGTGGGTGTGAACTGTCAGTCTCTTTCTTGTCCTATGTGCCACATGTATAGCTCAATAAGCTCGCACAAATATAATTTACCATTTCCGGCCAAAAAAATCATCTAAATGAAAATATCCTAAGAAAGCATGTTTTTCAAAAATCGGAATATGAAAAGTTCTCGAATCACTGATCTAGGAATGCTGTTTTTTATATATACCAGGATAAAAATAATCCATTCTGCGAGAGTGTCAAAACTGAGACCCACATTCAGGGCCCTTACTTTCTAGTTCATGTTTAAATACAAATAGTTAAGAGAAGAAAGCTGCTGGAAGGCAATGCTAGAAACACCCTTGTATGGCGAATCCATTTTAAGTAAATGTAATAAATGTATCACCATTAAATTTCACAGCAGGGGAGGAGGGACATTCTTCTTAACCTGGGTTCAAACTTGTTCAGGTATATGAATAAATATACTTGATAGAATTACGTGAATTTAGTTTCCCTACAAGGACCTTTATACATTTTGCATACCAAAGTAAGTTTCTAAAATTATACCCAGTATTTAAATATATACGATATATACCCTATTATATACTATGTGCTTATGTAGCAAAGACAGTCCCTGACTTATTATGGTTTGACTTTGGATTTTTCAACTTTACCATGGTGAGAAAGTGATACGCATTCAGTAGAAACCATACCTTGAATTTTGAATTTGGATCTTTTCCCAGGCTAGTGACATGCAGTGTGATACTCTCTTGTGATGCTGGCCAGCCACAGCGAGATGATTTTGCCCACCTGTACGTGTTCTGAGCATGTTTAAGGTAAGCTAGGCTGAGCTATGATGTTTGGTAGGTTAGGTGTATTAAATGCATTTTCATCTTAAGATATTTTCAACTTAATGTGTTTATCATAAGTCAAGGAGCATCTATGTATCATATAATACAACAGATTGTACATATATCTATATATAGTGTATAATGTAATGCAACACATATATATGCACATATATATGCCACTTAATGTATAAATCACATAAATGTGAAAATATAAAATCAATGTACTTGTCTTAAAATGTTTATAAAAATTAAAACTGAGTCAGCATATTAATTTTATTATGTTTTTCTCAAGTTGTTTTACCTAAAGGTTGAACCTAAATCTTCAATGTAATTATTCTGGTATCTGGCAATAGAGAAATAGAAAGCAAGTACATTTCAGAATTAAAAGCTTAGAACCACAGAATTTTAATATGGAATGGAACATTAGAGACCATCTAACCCTGTTCCCTTGTTAGATCAGAGAACATTCACTGTATACGTAAATTGGTACCGTGACAGAGCAGAACTGGCATTAATGTCTTCTGACTCTCTCAAGCCATTTATTGTCAGTTTTTTTCTAAAGATTCTGGGGCCACAAAAACTCTAATATAGGCATGATGGTTCCCCAAGTTTAATGAGACAGAGCCATGTTAGATTTCTAATATAGTTTTTTCTTCCTCTATTTCTTCCATCTTTCCTTTTTTTTTCTTATTTTAGCCTTTCCATTTATCCATGCCTCTTACCTTCTTTCCTAACAGACAACACCTTTCACACAGTGCTTCTACTCATTTCACAAATGTTTGTTGA